GCCTGTCCTAAAGGAATGTGCCAATCCATACTTCCTCTAACACGGCCTTAGAATACCTACATTTCTTTCAAAAAACGTGCGCGGTGGCTCAGCCTGTAATCCCAGCACTTTGGGAGGCCGAGGAGGGTGGATCACGAGGTCGAGAGATCGAGACCATCCTGGTCAACAAGGTGAAACCCCGTCTCTACTAAAAATACAAAAAAATTAGCTGGGCATGGTGGCGTGTGCCTGTTATCCCAGCTACTCAGGAGGCTGAGGCAGGAGAATTGCCTGAACCCAGGAGGTGGAGGTTGCGGTGAGCCAAGATCGCGCCATTGCACTCCAGCCTGGGTAACAAGAGCGAAACTCTGTCTCAAAAAAAAAAAAAAAAAAAAAAAAAAGTTTTCTAAGGCTTCCCTAACCCCAAGAATATAAAGAGGAAAAATCCATTTTCTTCCTCTGAAGACAAGGATCAGATATTTTTTTTTCTGACAGCTACCTAGCCATAATATTACCAGAAAGAAAAAAAATAATTTTCTCCACTGATCTGATGTGCCTTTATTATACTCTAAATTTCCATGTGAATTTGGGACTCTTTTTATTCTGTACAAATCTAATCATATGCCAGAATCAAATGTCTTAATTACTGTAACCGTAGAATACATTTTTATTTTTGAGACAGAGTCTTGCTCTGTTGCCCAGACTGGAGTGCAGTGGCAGTGATCTTGGCTCACTGCAACCTCTGTTTCCTGGGTTCAAGCAATTCTCCTGCCTCAGCCTCCTGAGTAGCTGGGATTACAAGCATGTACCACCATGCCTCACTAATTTTTGTATTTTTAGAGATGGGGTTTCACCATGTTGGCCAGGCTGGTCTCAAACTCCAGATCTCAAGTGATCTGCCAACCTTGGCTTCCCAAAGTGCTGGGATTACAGGCATAAGCTACCGTGCTCAGCCAGGATATGTTTTTAACATTTGGAAAAACTAGTTTCTTTTTTATTTTTTATTGTTTTATCTTATTTACTTATCTACTTATTTTTTGAGACAGACTTGCTCTGTCACCCAGGCTGCAGTGCAGTGGTACAATCTCGGCTCACTGCAATGTCCATCTCCAAGGTTCAAGCAATTCTCTTGCCTCAGCCACCTGAGTAGCTGGGATTATAGGCCTGTGCCATCATGCCTGGCTAATTTTTTTTTTCTTATATTTTTAGTAGAGACAGGATTTCATTATGTTGTCCAGGCTAGTCTCTAACTCCTGACCTCAAATGACCCGCCCACATTGGCCTCCCAAAGTGTTGGGATTACGGGTGTTAGCCACCATGCCCGGCCTAGTTCCTTTTTTAAATGTTCATTCTTTTAAAGAATTTTTTTGGATAATCTTCCTTATTTTTTTCCCTTATAAATTTTAGATTCAACTAATCTTTAAAAATCCTTTAAAAATTTTTATTGTGATCATGTTATAGACTGGAAGAGAACAATATTTTTCAGATACTGAATTATGATGGTGAGTTTCTAAGTATTCTTTTCGAGTCTTAGGTGATTCTGCTAAAAGAGATCCACTTTTTGAGAAACAATACTGCCTGTCAAAGTAAGCAGTAGTGGTGCTTGGTAAGCGGTAAAGGAAGCCATTACACAGAGTGTGAGCTGTGTCTACAGGGTGGACTACAGCCTAAGTATATCAGGTATCAACACGAATTTATCCTTGTTGAGAAGACCAATAAAATTTCTTCCCAGAGGTAGAAACTATACTACAAACCACTTTCTATGGCCCTAAGGTAAGAAAACAACTGCAGCTGAAGTAAGTGGTTTAGAATTCCATTCCATACAAGAACTCAAAATCAGTGCTGTACTATAGGTCTGGAAAACCAGAATGAAGTGAGGCATTGAAGGTTGGGGGAAAAATTCACATTGAGGCTTGGAAAAATTCTTTCTCCTACCTACCACTCCCAACTCATCCCAGTACTTTGGGAGGCTGAGGCAGGTGAATTACTTGAGGTCAGGAGTTCCAAACCAGCCTGGTCAACGTGGTGAAACCCCATCTTTATTAAAAATACAAAAAAATTAGCCAGGCATGGTGGCAGGTACCTGTAATCCCAGCTACTCAGGAGGCTGATTCAGGAGAACTGCCTCAACCTGGGAAGCAGAGGTTATAGAGAACCAAAATCACACCATCACACTCCAACCTGGGCAACAGACTGAGACTCTATCTCCAAAAAAAAAAAAAAAAAAAAAAAGAATGCATTATGCATTATCTGCCAGCACATCTGTGTCAGAGACCTCCTTGCCTAACTCACAATTCAAGTTTTAGTAAGTCCCTGAGTTCTTATTATACAGGTGTATAATTTGAGAGTTAAGAAGGATATGTCAGCTAGGAGGCTTCCACAAAAATTTAAGAGAAAATCCAAAACCAATTGGATTAAAGAAGAAATCTACTGGCTCATGCAACTGTAAGTCTAGAGGTACAGCAGCCTCAGGGAAGGGCTGATCCAGCAGCTCAAATGGAGTAATAAGGGTATGGCTTTTTTCTTTGCTCTGTTCATTCAGTGTTGGCTTCTTCACCAACTAAGTTTCCTTTCACCGCCAGAAGATAGCTGCCAGAAATTCGATGACTATGTTTTCAGCTTGAAATTCACAAAAACTTAAATTCACAAAAACTTAAGTGTCTTCATCTCAGCATTCCTAGCAAACATCCTAAGATTCACTCTGCTTCATCTGGCTTAGGTTGCATGCCTGCCATGATTGCCTTAGGTAGGAAACATGTTCCATTCCTACAAAATATACATGAAATACAGCACATTAAAGTTGACCTTAATGACTTAAATGTCTTGTATTACTAAATAATAGTACTACTGCATTTAAATTGATGGGTAAAGCACATCACACAACATTCTCTGTCTTCTTAAAAAGTTATTCTTCTGGCTGGGCACAGTGGCTCACACCTTCAATTCCAGCACTTTGGGAGACCACGGCAGGTAGATCCCCCAAGCCCAGGAGTTCAAGACCAACCTGGACAGCATGGTGAAACACTGTCTCTACAAAAAATATAAACTAGCTGGGCATGGTGGTGCACACCTGTAGTCCCAGCTATTCCAGAGGCTGAGGCAGGAGGATCGCTTGACCCCAAGAGGCAGAGGTTCCTGGAGTCTTGGGCTCAAATACATAGGCACAGACAGAGAGCCAAGATCACACTCCAGTCTGGGCAACAGAGTGAGACCCTGTCTCAAAAAAAGAAGGAGGAGGGAAATAAAGTTATTCTCTTGGATTTTCATCAGAACCCATCAAAAAAAAGAAAAGGTAAATTCTTCCTTGAATGTCAATCTCTTTTTGAAGGATTCAAAATATACTACCAGATTCACTGATCAAATCATAAAACATAGGTTTTATCATTTTTCTTTTTACTATAACTGAAAGTAGCACCATAGATTTTCAAGAAGAAAAAACGGTTCTTATCCTATGCTTTTTCAATATAATAACAAGGTTTGAAAGAAAATATAGAAGCAAACATGAATATCTAGAGCTAGGCAATAAAAAAACGGTTTCACAGAGCTTAATAAAAAACATAAGCAACTAGATCATACATCCTATGCCCTGAGATCCCTCTTACTATATCACCACCAAACCTCCCCCGACCTCCCCTAAAACACAGAGTCCTAAGAACAGAGTGGGGATGCATACTTTAAGGAATCTTTCTGTGAATGTGCATTCCAAAGCCAAATACAAATTATTCCTGAATTATGTTTCTTACTATTGATGTCCCTCATTCCTATAATTAGCACAGAATATAGAAGGCAAACTATTCTGTTTTTATAATGGAGAGGAAAGTGAAATTCCATTAGATTGAAAGCTAATACACAAACATGAAGGAGAGAATCTGGTTCTGAAGGTAAAGTTGGACAAAAATAAAAGACATCATTGTCTAGAGTAGAATTAACCACCTGAACATGTGAAGTCTTTTACACACTAGAAGTCTTAAAGAAGAAACAAACTTCACTAAATAATCCTAGAGAAGCAGCAGTGTGGTTAAAGAAAGATATGAATTTAAAAAAAATCTCTGTAATTATTAGATTCTAAGGATTGGTTTCTCAAGTACTTTACCAATCAAGTAATTCAGTTACATAAACATGTATTAATGACATTATTAAGAAGTATTAGGGTCAGGCACAAGAGGAATATAAACATAGCCCTTGACTTCATAAAGCTTATAAGTGGCTATAAAGAACATGATCAAGTAGAAATGCATGTGACACTAAAAATAAATAAATAAATAAATAAGGCTTTGGGTGATCAGAAAAGGAAGAAATCAAACGAATCTATACAATTTCTACAGCAAATAACAGGAAATCGCAAGGCAAAACTGCTTAAACAATAAGAAAATTCAGGTAGAGTAGCTACAGGCATAGTAAATGGGACTCTAGCTATTTTTTTCCAATTCCCTTGGATCTCCCTCCTTCACATAAGACATCGCCTTCAGGCTATTAAAAAGATGGCTGTAGCACTTCCACATGTCACATCCAGATAATGTCAGCTCTGTGGAGAAGAGGGGCCATCTATTTTCTTCCTTTTCTCAAAAGCAAGAAAAATTTCCCCAAAAGCCTCTTGCAGATGTCCCTTTTGTCTCTCACTGAACAAAATCGTCTCTCATGTCCATTCCTAAAACAATCACTCCCAAAGAGAATGAGACCTACCACAACCAAGATTAGAATGAATTCTAGTAACTATCATGACCATCATTTCAGTGCTGGCTGAATATTTCAATACGATATTTCAGGCCTTGGACTGAAGAAGAAATAATAGAGAAAAATGACTAGGCAAAGGAAAGGATGTGTCTAGCTGGAAGAAGAAAACCAAGCTCTGAAATCATACATTAAACATGTTAGGGATAAATAATTCCCTGAAACTGCACTGCTGTCCTCCTCTATAATTTAAAAATTAACATCAGCAAATGCTAAGAATGTAGAAGTCATCCTCTTTTTATGGAAAGGCTTAAGGTTATTTAATTATCAGTGGGGATAATCAGACTTACCACTCCTCATCAATGGAGTAACACATTCAGCTACTTCTGGTTTAAGAACATTCCATATTATGCATACAGATGACTCTGCAGATTCACTGTCAGTAGTTATTCCTTGCAGATTTCTTCTCATTTGGGTTCCAGGTTTCACTCAAAAATTCACACACTCAAAACTGGCCCTATCTGCAAATGAAAGTATGCAATTAAGAGGCAAAAAGCTACAGAGAGTTAATTCTCCTTCCCTCATCTATAATTAACTGATCCATATAAAGACCGAACTCAAACACTAGACTCACTAACCACCATGTTTAACCTAAGCAACCTGCATTTCAACACCATAATGTGCTTATTATACATAGTTACCACATTTTTCCCACCATATAAATTTATTGTCGCTTCCACAGTATAGCTACCCACCAGGCAGAATCCGGCAGACAGATACCTTTGGTGGACCCACACTAGGTTGGTTTGTATGGTTAAAGCATAACTGCTTACATTTATAACTAGGGAGTTTACATGAAAATCCAGATTTCGGACCTCTTTTGAAAAATCCAAATATCTGGCAATACTGAGCTCACATTCCCATAGAGAAACAATCTTCTGGAGCTGATTAGCAGCTAACTAACCCTGTGGATGGGGCTTTGCAGTTCTCCACAGAGGTCACCACTCTCTTCTATATTACAACCTGGCTCACAGTTACTTGCCTGTACCTTGCAGGCATCTGAGCCTGCAAACTCTGCTACCTATTTCTAATAGCTCCCAGGGAACATTTTATTATTTTCACAGCCAAGCATGTTTTCTGACTTGAGGATATAATATAGCATAAAGTGCTAACAACATGGACTTAAGAGTCAAAAGCTGGAGTTCAAATTCTGCAAATGACTAGCTGTGTGATCTCGAGTCCAAATAAACCTACAAGCCTTAACACAGTAGACAAAACAAACCTAAAATCTAACATGTCCAACCAGAATTGATAATCCTAAATTGACTGCTTCTTCAGTCTTCATCATCTCAGTAAATCCCACCATAATTCACATAACTTCCGCTCAAGCCACAAACTCTCCCTTGTCTCTCAAAGTCATCACCAAGGTCATTGATTCTCCCTCCAAAATACATAATTTGAACAGACTCTTAGAAGTCCAGCCATAAAAACAAACAGCAATTCATCCTTCAGAATCAATTACTTTGCTAAAATTGCCTATACATTTAACACCTTAAAAAATGGCAGCTTGAAGTGTCAAGGTTCCATATTATGAGGAATACTAGTACTTCATTAAAGGAAAAATGAAAACCACTGGGGTAGTTGCATCTCATTCCTTGCAAGATACTGATATTACATTTTATATACTTACACATTTCTTCAACTCTAAACTGACAGTGAACTAAGAGGCTATGCTAACTCTGAAAATGAAATTAGGAAAACCAAAAGACTACTATTAACTGAATAAGTTTAGGAAGGTTGCAGGATCAATACTTAAAAGCCAAGATTAATACTCCAAAATCAATTATATTTCTGTAGAACAACTGTACAAAGAATAATCAGAAGCCGGGCACAGTGGCTCGTATCTGTAATCCCAGCACTTTGTGGGGCCAGGGTGGGAGGATTGCTTGAGGCCCGGATTTTAAGACCAGCCTGGGAAAACACAGTGAGACCCTGTCCCAACAACAACAACAAAAAAAGTTTAAGTTAACTGAGCATGGTAGAGCACGCCTGTAATCCCAGCTACTCAGGAGGCTGAGGCAGGAGAATCAGAGGCGGAGGTTGCAGTGAGCTGAGATTGTGCCATTGCACTCCAGCCTGGGCAACAGAGCAAAACTCCATCTAAAAAAAAAAAAAATCTCAGCTGATCTTTTTGTAGAAGAAACTGGCAAGTTTATTCTAAAACTATGGTTTAGCTGGATGTGGTGGCACACACCTGTAATCCCAGCTACTCGGAAGGCTGAGGGCTGAGGGAGGAAGATCGCTTGAACCCAGGAGACAGAGGTCGCAGTGAGCCAAGACTGTGCCACTATACTACAGGCAGCGTGACACAGTGAGACTCCATCTCAAAAAAAATAAATTAATTAAATAAAATCATATGGAAATGCCAGAGAGCTAGATCAATCAAAATGGCTTTTAAAAAGAGCAAAAATTTTGGGAGCCTTATAAAACCAGAATTCAATGTTTATTGTAAAGCTACAGAAACACTGTAGTACTAGCATATGCAGAGACTAACAGGTCAATAAAACAAAACTGAGCATCCAGAAATACAACTACACGCCTGTGGTCAACTTATTTTCCACAAGAGTACAAAGGCAATCCAGTAGAGAAAGAATAGTTTTCTCAACAAATGAAGCTGGAATAACTGAATATTCATACCTGATGCCAAAATTAACTCAAAATCAGTCACAGACCTAAAGGAAACCTAAAACCATAAAAAATTCATAAAACTTTCATAAGATCTATGGACTTATCTTAGGCAAAGATTTTTTTTTTTTTGAGACGGAGTTTCGCTTTTGTTACCCAGGCTGGAGTGCAATGGCACAATCTCGGCTCACCACAACCTCCACCTCCTGGGTTCAAGCAATTCTCCTGCCTCAGCCTCATAATCCATTAAAAAAAGACAAAGTAATAATTTTATCGAAATACTAATTTCTGCTATTCGCAAGACACTGTTAACAGAATGAAAGCCTCAGAAATAACAGGAATCCAAATAGAAAAGAAAGCAGAGAAACTGTATCTGTTTGCTGATGACATGATCTTACATGTGAAAAACCATAAAGCTGGGTCGGGTGGAGTGGCTCATGCCTGTAATCCCAGCACTTTGGGAGGCCAAGGCAGGCAGATCATGAGGTCAAGAGATCAAGACCATCCTGGCTAACATAGTAAAACCCCATCTTTACTAAAAATACAAAAATTAGCTGGGCGTGGTGGCAGGTGTCTGTAATCCCAGCTACTCAGGAGGCTGAGGAAGGAGAACTGCTTGAACCTGGAAGAACTGCTTAAATCTAGGAGGCGGAGGTTGGAGGTTGCAGTGAGCCAAGACTGTGCCACTACACTCAAGCCTGGGCGACAGACCAAAACTCTATCTCAAAAAAAGAAAAGAAAACCATAAAGCTTCCACCAAAAAAACTGTTAGAATTGATAAATCAAGCAAAGTTGCAGGGTATGAAATCAACAGACAAAAATGAGCAGACAAAGAATACAAAATCAACAGACAAAGAATCAGCGTTTCTTTACACCAGGCATCCCCAAACTTTTTACACAGGGGGCCAGTTCACTGTCCCTCAGACCGTTGGAAGGCCGCCACATACTGTGCTCCTCTCACTGACCACCAATGAAAGAGGTGCCCCTTCCTGAATTGCGGCGGGGGGCTGGATAAATGGCCTCGGGGGCCGCATGTGGTCCGTGGGACATAGTTTGGGGACACCTGCTTTACACTAACAATCTGAAAAAAAAAAAAATTAAGAAATCTATTCATAATAGCCCCCGCAAAGTATATATATTTAGGAGCAAATTTAATCAAGGAGGTGAAAGATCTGTATACTGAAAACTATAAAACACTGATGAAAGAAACTACAGATAATACAAATAAATGTGATGGTATCCCATGTTCAGGGACTGGAATCATCAACATTGTTAAAATGTCCACAGTACCCAAAGCAATCTACAGATTCAATGCAATCTCTACCAAAATTCCAACGTTGTTTTTAAAAGAACCCTAAAATTCATAGAAAACCACAAAAGACCTCAAACAGCCAAAGCAATCTTGAGCAAAACAAAGCTGGAGGCATCGCACTACCTAGCTTCATAATCTACTACAAAGCTATAGTAATCAATATAGAATGTACTGGAATAAAAACAGACACACTGACCAATAGAACAGATAGAAAGCCCATAAATGAACCTACAAATTTATGGTTAACTGACTTTCAACAAAGTTGCCAGGAATACACAACAGAGAAAGGACAGTCTCTCTTCAATACAGTAATCTCTCCTTATCTGTGAAGGATATGTTCAAAGACCTCCTGAGGATATTACTGAACCCTAGATATACTATGCTTATTCAATCTGATAAACTAGACAGCTACTAAGTGACGAACAAGCAGCTAGTATACACAGCATGGATATGCTGGGCAAGGGAGGATTCATTTCCCAGGCAGGACAAGGCAGGACAGCATAAGATTTCATCACACTACTCAAAATGGCACATAATTTAAAACTTCAGAATTATTTTCTGGAACTTTCCATACACTATTTTCAGATCATGGTTTACCAAGGTTAACTCAAAGTGCAGAATGCAAAACCACAGATAAGGTGAGACTATTGTAAATGGTGCTAGGAAAACTGGATATCCACAAGCAAAAGGATAAAATTGGACCAGTGGGCTGGGCGTGGTGGCTCACGCCTGTAATCCCAGCAATTTGAGAGGCCAAGGTCAGGAGATCGAGACTATCCTGGACAACATGGTGAAACTCCATCTCTACTAAAATATAAAAATAAGCTGGTCTTGGTGGCACACCCCTGTGGTCCTAGCTACTTGGGAGGCTGAGGCAGTGGAACTGCTTGAACCCAGGAGGCGGAGGTTGCAGTGAGCCAAGATCACACCACTGCACTCCAGCCTGATGACAGAGCAAGACTCCGTCGCAAAAAGAAAGAAAAATAATAAAATTGGACCATTATCTCACACCATATACAAAAATCAACTCAAAATGGATTAAAGACTTAAACGTAAGACCTGAAACTGTCAAACTACCAGAAAAAAACATAGGGGAATAGTTATATGACATTGGTCTGAACAATTTTTAGATTTTTTAAATATATAACCCCAAATATACAGGCAACAAAAGCAAAAATAAACAGGATTGCATCAAATTAAAAAGCTTCTGCACAGCAAAGGAAACAATTAATAGATGGAAGAGACAATCCACATATTGGGAGAAAATATTTTAAAAACATGTATCTGATAAAGAGCTAATATCCAAAATATATAAGGAACTCAAACTCAATAGCAAAAAATAGGCAAAGGACCCAAACAGACACTTCTCAAAAGAAGACAACAAACATGTGAATCTCAGCAAATCACAGGCAGCCAAGCTTCACCTAATCACAAGCTACCAACTGATCAGACCATGTTCAAATAAGGCAAAGGAGGAGCTGTAACTAATCAATGTATGTATGTACTTTGCTTCTCGTTTCTGTC